TTTCCCATCCTTCATGTGAATGTGATAGTATTTTCCAAGGAGAGTTGTGAGAAACACGAGCTGAGACATGGTGACAGCCGAGTGCATGGAGTGTGGGAGCCTCTAGTAACGTAACCACAGGGCAGCAAACTCGTTCCATTCTGGAACTGGGAAGGTCTCCGTTTAGCCTACTGTCCTGCAAATGATGAGGAAACTAAGGCCAGAGAGCCCGATGCCTTGTCCAAGTGGCACAGCTGGTGAGCTTTAGATCCCAAGTCTAGGCTCTGGTTCCCAAGTCTTAGTGCTCTAATCATACCAAGTCAAGTTCTGCAATGAATAAAAATAGCAATGCCATGCTTCATTTCTGCAAAAGGCTAATAATGTCTCTTCCTTTACACACATCTCACTAGAATTCATCAGGAGAAGGACAACCCAATAAAAAGCTTTACTCTCAAAATGAATATTTTGCTTTGGAGGAGAGAGAAAATCAATCTCGGGTTGGTGATTCTCTTGTTCCCAGCCAGTGGTCCAAGGACATAAATCACTAACAACAAACACTTGTATTTCAAAGCACTTTCACATATTATCTCACTGGCCCCCAAGACATGGTGGGGGAGGTCTCGTTCATTATCTCAAACTTACAGAGGAAGAAGCTGAGATTCAGAGTTTAAGGAATTTGCCTACAGGTTGTAGAAAGGATTTCATGTGCCAGTAAGCTAAATGTCAACTTTTATATTAATTTTTTAGAATAAGCAATTTTAAAAGTTTGGAATATTGCTTTTGCAGGGTTGGAATAAAGGCAGGTCCCAGCATACTTTATGAGAACATGTGCGTGGTAGAATAACAGCATAAGTATGTCTCCAATATTCTTTAACAGAGTCACTTCTAAATATGTTGCCTTATTGACAGAATATCCATCCAGGATGGTACAAAAGAGTTACCATTCTTTTGTAAAAATGTCTTTATTCAAGATGCGTTAAAGGCTAAAAGTAACTTACTGCTTAATACTAGCTTTGGGGGGCAGATAACTGTAACTTGATAAACTTAGCTGAGCTATCTTTTAAGAAAAGTTTGAAAAACTCATCCAAACATCCCAAGAACTATGTCTGAGCCCCCTTCGTGGGGGGCCCATCTGCAGCTATGTCCAGAAGGAGCTGGAGATGACATAGAAATATTAAAGGAAAATACTCCTCTCCATGGGAGCCAGTGCTCATTCCTGAAGACAGAGGAGTTTGGGAACAAAAATGCGCTGTCAGATGCCGGGCTCGGGTCTGCGTAGATGTGTGGGTTTATCACACTCTGCTGCTTGTTTGCAGTCCATCTGCAGGTTTATGGGAATAGAGTCAAGCATTTAACACTCTCTGATGCATAAAGTTAAAGCAAGAGAAGCCTTGTAGTGGGGCACAGGTGTGTCTGAGCAGGCGTGAGTGATCAGGTGTAACCTGGGAAGAACAAGCTCTGAAAACAAAGAGAGTTTCAGACTGGAAAGTTCTTAGGTCTGGAAGAAAGAGTTCCTCCCGGAGCTTCCACCAAGCAAGACCTGGGAGGTGGGAGGCGAGTCCTGTGGGAAAAGGGAATGTGCTCTTCTGAGAAGGACTGCCCTGCCTGGCAGGAGAGTATTCTAATGAACTTCTACCTTTGGGTATGGCAAGTGGTAAAGTGCAAAATGCAAACAGTGCAACAAAGAAATGCAAATGGAACGTCTGTTGGTCCAGTGCAGCTGGCCCTCCCCCAAAGCACCCCTCTGGCCACTTTGAAGGTGATGGATGGAGGTGGGCTCCCTGCTCGGCAGCTTCAGACTCCCAACTGCCTCCTGGAGAACTCGGGGTGATCAGGTTCTCACAACTGCGTCTGAACACTGTTGTTGTTCTCAACACACCCGTCATCTTTTGAAGGCAGCTGGGAGAGTGTCCGTAGCATGTCTTCCTTCCTCAGTGTCTGAGAATTTGCAGCTTGGACGGGCACTCACTGCCTCACAGGGTTTACTTACACGTCTCTCACTTTATTGATGAGCTTAGTGATGCCAAGGAGTGTATCTCTGTATGCCTAAAGATGTTTTGTTTTGTTGGCACTACTGAGGGCTGAACCCAAGGCCTTCACACTGAACTACATCCTCAGCCTTTCTATTTTTTATTTTGAGACAGCATCTCACTAAATTGTCCAGCCTGGGCAATCCTCCTGCCTCAGTCTCTGCAGAGTGCTGGAATCACAGCCACGTACCACCATGCCTGACTGCCAAAAGATTTCTAGAAAGTCTTTGCCGTAAGAAATAAACTAAAGATACTTGTAATAGGGATCAAGTGCCGCCAACAAGAACAAGTCTTTTAGAAGTTTGTTCATTAGATGAGTTCTCTTTGGGGCTGAGAGAGAACCCATACATTGCTGTCATGGCTTAGATTCCAATACCAGGATAATGTCTGCCCACTGCAGCAGCCTTCACAAAAGAAATTGCTAAGAAAGACTGTGCACAGACACTCTAGAAGAAAAATTGTGTTTATGCAGCTGCAGGACAAGTCACAACTTAAGGAAATGGCGAAGAGACTGGTAGCACAGTGCTTGCAGAGTTAGCAGTAAGAACTACAGCTTCCCAGAACATAAACACAGGCGGCAAGGTCTGCTGGTGGAAAAGGATGTTACAAAAGTGCTTGATACAAAGGTGAACAGAGGGATGTGTAGAAATCCTCTAGCTTTCTACATATGGCATGGGATGCCTTCCATATACCCAAAACTTCAGACACCTGGGGCTGAGAGTAAGTTATGAGAAAGAGTAGGACAAAGGGAGGATAGTAGAATGGTGGAAGCAGGGAGGACAGAAAGGGAGTTTGGAGGTTGAAGGCCTGTGTGTTAAAGTTTTGGACCCCAGGGTCCATTATGATTGGGAGGTGGTAAATTCCAGAGACCACGGGACCTAGTGGAACACCGTGGGGAACCACTCAGACCGCTTCAAAGCTCAGGGGGCTAAGGACACCTGAGGACATGACCCCGCTGTCTAGCGCAGGTGCACAGGGGGAGAGTTATGGAGCCGTGACCCAGCATAGGTAAACACACGTGCGCTGTCACGGCACTATGTAAGAATGTAAACATGCAATAACAACTTGTGTAAGAATCACACAGTAAAGGCAGGCAGCTCTCACTCTGGCTGTCTGCTCTGCTGCACGCTGCCTGCTGCTGCTGCTGCTGTTCTGAACACGTGTGTTCTTCAGCCTTGGGACCTCACCCACAAAAGCCTCCTTGGGCCCCCTGAGCAGGCTGACAAATGTGCCTTGTTCACTGGGGCGCCCCTTGGTGCGTTCTGTGGGACCTCACCCCTTCCCCTTCATTAGATTCCCAGTGAAGAGGTGAAGAATTTCCTCCACTGTGTCCTCCCTGCCACTGCCGCCTGCACTGCCACCAGAGGCCCCAAAGTAGAGTCCACCCAGTGATGGTCTGGAACCTCCAAAAAACATGAGCAAAAGAATAAATTTTTTTATTTATCATGAGCTGAGTTACACAAGGAGTGAGGGAGACAGTATATAGGGGTCTCCTCATCGCACCACAAAGAAACTGTTCTCCCCACAGGAAGAAATCATCTTAGCTGATGGACTCCTGGAGCACAGATGGGGACCTGGTAGAGGGAAGAAATCTTCACAGACATTGTTTTTGGTGTCTGTTGAAGAGAAAGGTGGAACTGGAGCTGCTGCCTGGAGACCTGCTCAGCCTTGAACATGGTGTAAAGAAAGGAAAGAGCTGCTTCTCAAATGGCTCGGTGCTCAGACTGGAGGAGACCTGGGGACACTGAAAGGGGATGGGCACAGCAGCCGTGCTCACTGTCAGGAGGAAGGGAGCATGTGCACAGCCCTTTCCTCCAGTTGGGACCTGCAACCCCTTGTCCCAGGTTTAGCTGCACAGTCGAGGGAGGAAGACCGCTGCACAGAGGGGTCATCAGGATCTGGCTCCAAGAGTCATGTCTGTCACGGACACCTCTGCTGCAGAAGACAGGACCCAGTGTGCCCAGGGATTGGAACCTCCTCTGCGAACACAGGCCTGGAAGCAGGGGTCACTAAGCTTCGTTTCCATCTGGAAGGACCCATGATGCTAGACTTAGTAAATGTCCAGGCTAAGGGTAAAACAGTTCAGGTTTGCTGCGGTTTGGAAGAGATCTCCACCACTTCTGCAAACCTCTTAACCCTGAATTCCTGCAACAGCAGCTGTTTTGTCTGAGAGTACCTTAGTCGGTCGTCTTTCCTCTGAAAATAATTCATTTTATAACAAGAAATCAAAGAACATAAAAAGCAGAAATACATCTTTCTCTCAACCTACTCGAACATAAAATCAAAAGGAAGATGAAACGGAAGATTCAGTTACTATTCCCAAAACTGAACTTCCCTTACCCAGCTGGGAGTCCTACATTCAATCCGAGTGATTGTTTTGAATTGGTGTTTTTCTTTTTCTACAATAAAATAATTTGCAAATTAAAAAATATGTGGTCCCCAGGCTCTTCCTGACACACCAGCCAGATCCTCTACTGTGGCCAGGGCCTGAGACATCGTTCTTGAAAATCTCCTTCTGACATCCACATGCCCTAAATTCCACATTGATATTTGGGAACTGCTGACCTGATAGGTGTTCTCAGATAGTAACTTCCCAGAAAACAAATTAGTTTCATGTGGAACTCTAGCTAAGCCTAAGAAACATTTCTAAGGAGAGCGTTTCTGTGGAAGTTACTCATCTTAACTTGGCTGAACTTACAGCAGTTGCTCTTAACCACACACAATTCAATCCCCATTTGTAATCTGACTAGTAAAAATTAAATTTGTTGCTATTTTTAGGTTATTATATGTGCTAGTCGATGGGAGAAAATTCAGAACAGAATATAGAAATCCATGAATATTGGTCAACAGGAACAATTAAAATGTCTGTCATTTTGGCCTCGAGGTCTGCATATTTTGTATAATGTGTCTCCAAAACAGCTGCAGTTAACCCACTAAACTGGAGTGGGTTTTCATGAAAAATAGTGGAATCATGCCGGTACTTGCCTTTGAAGAGTAGACTTTCTCTTGGCAGGACAGAAGGAGGTTGGAACGGGAAGAGGCCAGAAGCAGGCGGCCGAGAGCTCTGACACGGGCATCTGTGAGGAAGGCGGAGAGGTGATGCCAGGGCAGGGAGGGCAGAGCTATCGGGAGACACATTTGTGAGAATCAGGCAGGACGAAGACGACCAAGCAGACACTGGACTTCATTTCCAGAAAGAACTAAGGAAAGTAGCTGCCGTTCCTCTCCCCTTGCCATCGAGTGCCCTTGTTTTCTTAGATCCTTTTCCTCCGGTATCGTCCCTACCACTTTTTTATACCATGCCTACCGAGAACTGAAACATCACCACCACGTCCACATGGGCTCTGAGCCCACGGACCGCGAGATCTGGCCACAGTGAGTTGAGACATCGTGGGTCCCTTGTGCTCATCACTTCTTGCTTGTAAAAATACCAACAAAGCACGGGTACACTGCTTCCCACGGCCCAGCTTCCCACGTCTGCATTTTACTTCATGCTTACAACCACTCCTGCCTGTGGAAAGGCAGGTTTCATCTTTCCCGCTTCCGAGAGGAAGAAACAGAGACCCGTCCACAGCACATCTTAGGGAAGCAGGCCCTGGGACTGCGTTCAGACTCTACAGACGTCGGTGTCTACCTTGAAAATGGAGGCCATAAAGGACCTGCCTCCTGGGATCTTGACACTGGTTAAAAGAATCATGCACAGAGGTGCTTGGCCTTGTTAGGTGGAGCCTTGGGGAATGTTAGCTGCTGCCTTTACAGGTCTCCCAGCTCCAAAGTCCTGTCTGACCCTGTGTAGCGTGGTGTCCCCTGCTCCTGGACAGATGTGTTTTAGGAGGCTCTATTTACCTTACAGGCTACTGATGGATTTCTACTTGCTGAGGAAAGAAAAATGCCAAATGCAAACAGAAATACTGCTGTCTGGGTGGGCCTGCACATCATTCAGTAGCCACAAGCGATGCCCTGAAGTTACTTAAAACACAGAGTGGGTCATGTCAGCAGAGGTCTGGTGTTTCAGGACCTTCTCCCACACGCAGGGAACCTCCTGTACTTACCTGGAGAAAGTGTAGGTTTGATGAGCGAAATGCTCACAGGTGCATGTGTCTTACAAGCACACCAGCTCAAGGGATGAAGGCTTTGTGGCTTATACTGGTTGGCAGTTAAGTGGAAACTATAGAGCCATCAGGATGTCCTGAGAGCCTGGTGACGGTGGCATCCGTGTTGCTGACAAGTTGCCGAGCCGTGTGTCCTCCAAGCGACGGGGAAGTACAGCTCCAGTTCCACCTCAGCCTCTCCTTCCACCGCCATGGCTGCTCTCACACCTGCTCCCTGCACTGCCGACCCCCAGGGGATGATGGGAAGGTGGCAGAGTGGGGAAGGGATGGGGGTCTTGGCACATTAATTGGGGGCAAGATGGGGAAAGATATCTCAAGGAAAACATTTCAATAGAAAGGGAAGAGGCTCTCCAGTCTGCCTGGCTGGGTGGAATAAATGCTTGAACAGCATTCTGTCCAGCTGGGGAAAGGCCAAGACTAATTTAACCTTTGGTCAAATGGTTGGGAGTTAGCTAGTTTCCTTTTTCCTCTTACATCACTCCCAGAGATTCAGACAAAAATAACATGGTCCCGATTACATGACATTACGGGCTCTGAAAATACACCAGGGAGGATGGTGTTGAAACCCCTTGGAGGCAAATTAATCCTAGCAAAGCAACAGCTGTAAGACTGATACAAACAGGAGAAGCAACAGTATATTGGTTCCAGGCTTGTTTGAATGTTGATTTTAATCCAAGCAATTAAATAAGGGTTAAAAGCACTAATTTGGAAGGGTTTCTGTTGCCTTAAGATGGTGCTTTATGAAATATTCATCCATCCTTTGTATGCTATGCTTTGCTGTTTGACACACTTTGGGATTTAATTCCTAAATTCTGGTTTCCATCTTTATTGTTTAAAATTGAGATAAATGTCGAGGTGAAAGGGAGCTTACCTCTGTGGAGTCAGGGCTTCTGCATCAGGTCTCTAGCTGGGAAGCCATGGTCTACGAGCTGCCTCTGCCCTGGGTTGCTTGCCTGAGCCAGGCAGGAGCTGGGCACCTGCCCCTCCTCCTTGGCTGGGTCTCTCCAGAGCAGACACTTGAGCTTTTCCTGAAAGCACAGCCTGTAGCCCCTGGAGGACAATTTGCAGAACTTGTATGCACCATTTACACTCAAAAATCAAAATATTTCCTCTCCCTGGGACACAGCAGCCCTCTCCACACCCTCCTGCTTTGCAATTGGGCATTACTTGGAGACCCAACATGAACCCTAGAAGAGAAATCTCCCAGCTGGAGCAGAAGTTAGCTGAAAGGAACGCACTCTTAGGACAAGAGGAAATCTAGAGTCATGGTGTCTGTACTCACCGCTGCCTGGATCCCAACCTAACTCAAGGCCACTGCCACTGGTGAGAGCTCAAAGAAGTCCTCTTTGTGCCTCAGTGGCCTGAACTGTGAAATGGGGAGAAGAAAAGCAGTTAGGAAGGTGAATGATGCTGTGCAGGAAGAGCTCACCTCAGGCCCAGCAAATAGTCAGAAAAAAATAAAGAACCTGTTGCTGCTAACAGGACCACGGTCCCCTTGGAGGTCTTGGCAAACCAGTCTCAGTTACTGGGTAGCGGCTGGCGCCCCGAAGAACTCTTCAGGGCTGGGCTGATTTCCATGTATTTAATGATAGAAGCAAAGACTACCAGGACAGCAGCTATGGAATCAGTGAAAAAAAAGTCCCTGCCATGTCTGATGGGCAAGCAGAGCAGATCTGTCTTTCCCTGGGACTCAGGGAAAGTGGTTTGGGCGCTGCTGGGACTGAAGGTGGAGTTGACTTCTGGGGAAGGGACAGCAACGACATCACAGAAACGAGAGGTAGACGGGCCCAGGGCTGAAAGCCGGGGGCGGTGGCCTCACCCACCCATGCCCGTCTGCTCACTCGACTCACTGAGCTGAGAGGCCTCTTTTGAGGCAGCCTTACTTTTAGGGGAAAACGAGTCCTTTCTTGGAGATCCCTGATCTACTCTGAAGTCACTCACCATTAAAAATAAAAGGAAATGACAAATAGCATATTTGAAAATATATTTGCCATGGTTCAGTTTGCCAGGTTGGAGTTTGACTGACCAGGCTTCCACGGAGAAACACATTTCTGAGTATTTCAGAGCCTTCTACAGATCTTTTGCTAGCACAGCACATAACTGCTGGGACTTCAACCCAGATCTTTTGACTCTCAGCCCAGTGCTTTTCAGCTCCAGCATGAGAAGTTAGTCACAAATTCTGTGTGGGGTGCATGAAGGTTACAGAAATGGTGACTGTCTCCAGTGGTGATTTCCCAGGAGCAGCTGGAGCAAGGCAGATGGTCACTAATTTATTCAGCAAACATTCACTGGATGCCAAGTCCAGCACTGCAGATTTCCTGGTGAAAAAGACAAATACAAGTCCCACCCTCATGGAACTAATAATTGTCCCTACCATTCGTGTACTAAACACAGACTACCCAGATGGACAGTTAATTACAGCAGTGCTGCGTGGAAGGTGCACTTATACAAGGAGGCCTGGGCTGGACAGAAGGGCATGGTAGAACTTGCCTGTGCCCTCCCTCCCTCAGTCCTATCCGTCTCGGAGAACAGCGCCCCGTCCCCATTCCCACAGGGGCAGAGGCCAGAATCCAGGGAACCCTCACACCCCTCACTCTCTGCTGCCCAAACCTCAACAAAGACTACCAGGACAGCAGCTATGGAAACCTCAACAAACCCCTTTGACTTTGCTCCAAAATTCTAAAACTTTGCACCTTTCCATTCCCCTGCCACTGTCTCTGTGAGCACTGTCACCTTTTCATGAGCTACTGCAGCGCTCCTACCAGCTCCGCTCCCATTCTCCTTGGGCTCTGCCAACCCTTCTATGAAATGGAGCCTCAGATTCTTCGAGGAGAGCCGGTTATGCCACCCTCCCGCCCCCGCCTCTACTCCCTTACGTGTCAACATCCACATCCTCTCCGCACGCACAGCCTCAGCGTCTGCCCTCTGCTTAGAATCAGAACAAAACTGGAGCACAGCCTGTAGAGTCCTGGGGATTCACGCCTCCCTTCCTCTCTCCTCAGCTCCCTCTGCCATCCAGGCTACACACCATCCGGCTGCTTCAGCCCTCTTTCCAGCTCTAATATGTGCCTGTAACCTTTCCATGGGTGGTCCTGCTTTAAATGCTCATATATCTCCCAACTGCACAAAGAAGTTTTCTTTGACCTCTCTAGGTCCACGTCCCACAATCAGGGTTCTCTGTAGCATGGGGCTCTTTGCATACCCAGAGCTCACACTCCGCTGTCTGCTTCCCTCATCCCTGCACAGACCGTAAATCCTATAAGGGCAGGGCCATGTTTATTCTGATGCAGCATGATGTCCCCAGCATCGGCTTCAGGACCTGAAACAAGACAGAGCAAGGAGGGAAAGAAAGAGAAAGAGCCTGCTAAGGAAGTCTGAGATGACAGCAGCATCCGCTAGAAAAAGGGTCCAGAAGAGAGGAATATTCTGTTCTGAAGGAAACAGAGGCCCGAGGAGAGAGGAACTGACTCTCATACTTTCCAGAGAGAAACTGTACAGAAGTAGAGCCCTCCATCCTAAATGGGTCAGAAAGATGGAGTCGCTGTCTATGTGGGAACGGAGGTTAAGATAAGGAGCTCTCTGTAATGAACATAATTTAAGAAGGAGGTAAATATACATAGACATAAAAAGGCCAGTTATCTCACAAAACCAGAGTCATATAAACAGAAAAAAATTGACTTTCTTCATAAACTACGCTGTGGCACACTCAGAGAAAACTTAAGTTACACGGTGGCATGTGCCTCCAGATGATTCAAGAGGAGCGCTGGTTATGCTGAGGCAGAGTTGCCCACGGCTCCTCTGAAGAAGCAGAGGAACAGTTCGCTGGCATCTGCCAGATTATAAGCGGGGGGCAGAGAAGCAGGGGCAGGGCTCGGGTTTCCAGCTGAGAGGGGTAAGTTGCTGAGAAATGGGGACTGGGCCTTGGGAAGACAGCAAGGTTCGGAGTAGGTGGCCATCCACCCAAGACCCAGGGTGCAGCTGCACATCCTGGCCATGTCAGTCACCTTTCCATGTCTGGGACAAAAATGCCCGACAGAAACTATTTAAAGGAAGAAGTATTTATTTTGGCTCCATTTCCATGGTTTCAGATAATGGTCAACTGCTTCCATTCTTTTAGACCTATGGTGAGGCAGAATCATCTCGGTGGCAACACATGGTGGAAGAAAGCAGCTCACCTCATGGATGTGAGGAAGCAGAGAGGCAGGGAAAGAACCAGAGGGGAGGGGCTGGGCAGCGGCAAAAGCGCCTGCCTGGCAAGCGCAAGGTCGTGAGTTCGGTTCCCGGTACCGGAGAAAAACCACACACACACACAAAAAAAAAGAACCAGAGGGGAAGAAGCTGAGGACCAGGTAGGTATACCTGCAAAGGCCTGCTGCCAGTGACCTAGTTTCCCTAATGCAGCCCCACCTCCTAACAGCCATTTAGCTGTGAATTCACGAATGGATTCCTCTGTTGATGAAGTTAGAACCCTCACGATTGAGTCACTTCCGTAGACCCCACTTCTGAACATTGCTATATTGGGGATCAACCTGTTAACATAGGAGTCTTTGGGAGACACTTCATATTTAAACCATCGCACCAACCAAGGGGCAAAGATGGCCTGATGGGTCAGAGCTCTCCTCTTAGTACAACCGGGAAGCTCCCTTGAACCTTTATGAAAATAATCACTTGCAACTAGCTGGAGGGTAACACATGTTTGGTCGGTGGGAAAGCTGTTATGATATTAGAAGTAAGGAAATAGTGGGACTACTGGGAGTTTCCAAGGACCCTTGATTTCCTGATGTGATTGCCTTGTGTTATACCAATTCTGCAATTGCTAGTAATGCCAGACTTCCAACAGCACAAAGATCTAGGAACCCTGGAGCCTGAATGGCCCTATCCTCTAATATTTCTGCTCTCTCAACAGGTCCAAGGAGAATCCTTGTCCTGTAGGAAGGAGGAGCTCTGGAACAGGTTACAGTGCTACATCCATATGGCAAAAAGAAAGTGTGTGTTCATGGGGTTTTTAAAAAAAGAAAGTGTTCCATAGAACAGGGAAGACAACTGCCAGGAGAGGAACATCACAGAGGATGTTGTACCCATATGCAACCTGTTGGACTCCAGTCAAGGCAAGAGAAGCTGGGAGGCAGCTCTAAGCAGTGAGATGCCACAACGAATTTGCATTTTCAGATCCTCCTGGGAATGGAGGATGAAGAATGGATGAGAGTGAGTAGGAATGGATGCAAAATGCCATGGGGAAGATACTGTGGTACTCTCAAGTGAAGGGTGGGAGGGAACTGTGGCCTATGCTAGGTGATTGCCAGGAGAAGAGAGAGAGGAGATGGCTTCCAGACCTCCTCCTTCCAGAAGGTTTCAACCTGCACACATTCAGCCATGGTGGCATCTTATCTGGGCTAGGAGACACTGGGGAGAATCCTATTTGGCAGGGGATGCTGGTGGACCCCACACACTTTAGAGGAAATTATTTGTGACTTTCATCAGGAGAATCATACAAGTTGCTTCTGGGTGGTAGCGGTCCCCTTGATCTCTGGGACTGTCCTCTGCAGCCCTGTGTAGAAGAGGGTGCCTATGAGATTTGCGGTTTGTTCTTTTGGCTTGTGAATTGACTGGCCCTCATTTTCTCCTCCACATGCTCTCTGAAGTTGTGTTTGGGAATGTTATATAATGGTCTTTCCTCATCGTCTCGTATTTATCTTTGCCTGTGGGTCGCCCTCCCCAGCAGGATGGGTAAACTCATTGAGTTCAACAAGATACATTTGCCAAGTACCTGATTTGGGGGCCGAAGCTAGGCCTAATTCTCCCCAGTCGTTTGAAATCCAACGGATGAAAGAATCTTCCTTTCTTAAAACGTTTTGGTCTCTGGGGCTGGGGATTCAGCTCAGCAGCAAAAGCACCTGCCTGGCATGCGCAAGGTCGTGAGTTCGGTTCCCGGTACCGGAGAAAAACCAAAAAAAAATAAATAAATAAAATAAATAAATAAACATTTTGGTCTCTGTGGCTTCTTCCTGGGCCTCTGGTTACTATGCTAAAGAGTGGCAAAGG